TACTCTGTGAGTTATGAGTCTTATTTACCTTTTACCATTAAAGTTTCTCCTGCCTGCTGCTTAGCTTGAGTACAAACTAGCCTGACTGCCAGAACTATCACCCCTCTCTACAAACTTTACTGTCATTACACTCAGAGGCACTTGAATTGGATCCTGCCTTATTTTGAGAGAGGGTGGTGGAAGCAGCATTCTCTGACTACCCTGAGAATCTGGAACTTGGTCATTCCTTTGCTCCAAAATAGCCCAAACTGATGATCATCAAGGTATGCTGTGAAAGTCATTTAGTTGATGAGGTGTGTAGGGTGAGGGTAAAGGGCATGTTCCTAGGAGATGGAGCCTTTCAATTTTAAGTTAGAGGCTTGCAGTGTTATTTCCTTTGACTACCATATTGGTTTACCACAACTAGATTGTAAATCTAATTGTTAGGGTATTAAGAGCTTTTATAAGGCTATTTTGAATTGTTTATAGAACAGAGGGGCACAGTGCTTTTCTAAAAATTTTAAAATACAGACCCAGAATTTTATTATGGCAGGAGTAGAGTCTAAAGGCAGAATAGAGTCAGCTAGTTTTGAGTTGTAAACCAAGGTTTGACACACATTTCTTTTGTGGCTTTAGGCAGTCATTTGTTCTCTGCCTCAGTCTCTCCAATGAAGGTGATCGCATAGTGTTCAAGCTAAGTACATTTTCTCCTAACTCTGAAGGTGGAAAGCACTGTATATGCCTGTAACAGGGTGTATCTACCCTACACAGAGGAGCAGGGAGTTGCTGTGGCCCAGCTGGCTGGAAAAGCTGCCCTCAGCGCTCTGCTGGGCATGCTCACAAGAGAGGCAGGATATAAAAGCCTCTGGAGCTGCTCACTTGTGGCTGACCACCAGAGGGGAAGGAGTCAGGCCTGAGCTCCAGAGCAGCGACAGCAGCAGTCTCAGCCACAGCCAAAGCCAACACAGCTTGGCCATCAGCCTGGAAGATACATTTATTCCCTAGTCCATAGGTTCCCAAACTGGAGGGCACGCCCCTCCTGGCCAGACACTTACCCCCAGCTTGTTCCTGTAGCCTATTTTCCACCCAGACTCTGTACCCCATCCCTATCTTGCTGACTGGCAGCCCTGTCCTGCACACAGGATCCCTCATTTTTGGCCCCACCTCAGAGTGTAGAGGGTCCCACAAATTCCACTAACCCTCAAACCCCAGAAGAATTAATCTGACCTGAAGCCTTGCATGTCAGTCCTACCTACCCTCCCCACATGGGGCTGGGGTGCCATGGAAGGGAGGTGTCTCAGTTGTGGCTACATCAGTGGGATTTGGGGGGCCTAGGAGTGTTGGGGGGTTGCATCTCACTTGTGTGTTCCCTGATTGATTTTTCTGGGGGTCAGTGACCCCTGACCCAAAACAGTTTCCCCTGCTCTTCCCATGAATAAAGACAATGCTGAAACATTTGTGCTGGAAATATATTTTAAAATAAAGCCTGGCCCCCAAGGCCCGAAGTGGGTTCAAGGCCCCATCTGGCTACCACATAACACCCCTGCATCCTCTCACACACCTCAATCCTGAGCCTCTCATACACTGGAACCCCTTGTCCTGAGCATCTCACATCCTCAGTCTTCTGCCACAACACTACTGCACAATCCACACACTGCAAATCTGTGTCCTGAGCCCATCATACTCCCAACCCCCTGCCCTGAGCCCCTCATGCACCCCAACCTGAACTCTTGTACCCTCACATCAACAAGCCTGTGGTTTGCTCAGCACCTCAACACTCCACCTAACCCCAACATGCTCCAGCCTGGAGCCCCCTTCCCTGAGCCAGAAGCCTCCTCTTCATTTCTTCCTGCACCCAAATTCCCTCCCAGAGCTTGCACCTTTCACCCCTTTCCACACCCAAATCCTCATTCCTACCCCAGAGCCCACTCATCCTGTCTCCATCCAGTGAGACTGAGTAAGGGCTGGGGACAGCAAATGATGGAGAGGCAGGAAAGAGAGAGGACAGGGCCTCTAGAAAGGGGTGGGATCTTAGGGCTTGCCCTGACATTTAAAATGTAATCTTGGGTGTAAAAAGATTGGAGACACTACCATAAAAAAATTTTAATTTTCAAATTTTATACCATGAAATGTGAATATATATGTATTGCCTTTTGACATGTAGGGGTACTGGTTTGGTTGGTGGGGAGGCCAAAGAATGATGTAGAAGGCAATGGAACTTTTTCGAACTTTCTAGCATGCTTGCAGGAGTGTTTGGGACTGTTCTGCTGTGGGAACAGGTAGCCAGTCTTGCGTGGTTACTGGTGCTGGGGTATATATAAGGCAGCACGTGTCCATATGTAAGAGTAGTAGTAAATAAACATTTGCAATAATTTATCAAAGTAACTTACGTCCATTAAATTTATTCTAATCAGGAAAATTATTATTATTTTTTTTTTTTAATTTGCTATATTATGGCTGCGCTTAAGAAAACAAAGTATGATGAGGACTACATTAAGTATGGCTTCACTGTCATGGAAAAAAAACGGGATTGATCATCCTCAATGCGTAGTATGCCGCACAGTTCTTAGCAATGACTCGAGACCTAGTTGTCTTGAGTGACACTTGACCAAGAACCACAGCGCTTTGACAGAGAAACCAAGAGTTTTTTGCTGATAAACTTCAAAATTTGAAACACATGAAGCTGGACACTACTGGAGCTTTTCATCATGCGTCGACCAAAGCAGTAGAAGCATCTTATGAACTGTCATTGCTCATCATTAAAGCCAAGAAAGCGTATACAATCGGAGAAACTCTTGTGAAGTCTTGCTTGTTGAAAGCAGCTGATATTGTGCTTGGTGCTGAAAACAAGAAAAAACAGACTGTGTTCCAGCAGTGCTTGGCTTTCGCTCTGGATTTGTGACGTTGGTGAAAGAAAAAAACCCAGCCATAACCACAACTCACTGTGGTCAAACACAGACAAGTGCGGGCTGCTAAAACCCTTCCAGATGACTTGTGACTCAGTGAATTTGGCCATAAAAGTTGTCAATTTTGTGAAGAACAGTGCTTTAAATACGAGACTTTGATGCTCTTTGCACGGATTTGGGAGCGGATCATAAAACTCTCATTTCACACAAGAGGGTACGATGGCTGTCCAAAAGTAACATGCTTTCGAGATTATTTGAACTGAAAGATTAAGTGGAAATTTTCCTCAAGCAACAGAAGAAAGAGGAGTTATAGCATTCATTTACGGATCAGACGTTTCAAATTTCACTGGCATACCTAGTGGAGATTTTTTAATCTTTCAACAACTTCAGTTTGAAGCTGCAAGGAAACAACGCTGCAAACATTATAGCACACGATGATGCCATCAAAGCATTTACCGAAAAAGTCCAGCTTTGGAAACATCGAACAGAAGCTCAGATGTCTAACTTTTTGTCTTTTCCGACATTTTCATCACTCGCTGAAAATGAAGGTTTTCAAGATGTTTGTAAAGAGGATGTGAAGAACAAAATTGTGTTTCATCTGGACTGCCTTGCTGATGAATTCATCCACTATTTTCCAGATAACTTTTCTGGCAACCCCATTCATAAATACATATACAATCCATTCAATGTTGATGTTGATTCATTGCCAGAAGTATTGCAAATACAAGCACTCAAAATAAAATGATTCAAGTGCGAAAGATAATTTCAAAAACACAAGGTTGGAGAAATTTTGGATAAAATATTTCCCAATGTACTCAAAAGTTGGAGAAGAAGTGTTACGTATTATTCTTCCATTTTCATCAACATACCTCTGTGAAAAAGGCTTTTCAAGTTTAGTCACATTAAAAACAAAGAAATAGACTGGATGTCAAACAATTTGCGTTGCGCACTTTCATCTTTCAAACCTAGGATTTCCCAACTCATGAAGAAAATGCATCATCCTTTACATTAAATTTGATTTGTTTCTGCTATTTCTTATGTTAAATTACATTTTTTATTGAATTTTTGTGCCAAGAAAAAAAATTGTGCCTATTTATAATTTAAAATAATTGTTTATAACAAGTTTGTGTTTATTTTTAATTTTAAATTACAAATTGAATTTTTTGTTAAAAGGGGGGTTGGATGATGGTAAAGAGGAGGTTGGGGGGATGAGGGTTTCTTAAAAATCAAAAGGGGGGGGGAAGTGATGCTGAAAAGTTTGGGAACCACTGCCCTAGTCAGTCAAGATCTCTTTCGGTATCCTGACCCAACAAAACAACTTGAGCAGCTCTGACGCTATGGTGGGAGCAGTGGTATTCCATAACAGCATGGCTTCAGGGTACCTAGTCACGTAGTCTACCACAATTAGGACGTATTGGGAGCCCGAGCTCGCTTTCTCTAAGGGCCCCACCAAGTCTAGGCCAATCCATTCGAAGGGGACCCCCACTAACAGGGCCTTTAGTATTCCCTTCAGGTTCACTGGCTTTCGGAAGTCACATACCTCACGGTGGATTCCCAGCCGAAGAATCTCTGGGCCACCCATTGCAGGGTCTCCTCCTGCCCCAGGTGTCCAGCCCAAGGGTTTGCATGGCCCAGTCACAGCATGCCTTTCCTGTATTGGGTAGGGACCAGGAGCTGCCACAACTCCCCCTTGGTTTGAGGGTCTCAGATCATCCGGTAGAGGCGGTCGGCACGTACCTGGAACCACAGCCCTTGGAGCCTAGGTGGGTCTCTTTCCCCCTCGGTCTCCGATTCTCTCACTTGCTCCCAGACCCGGCTCAGTCAGGTCAGGTCTTACCTTTGGTCTCTCATGAAGTCCCTACTAGTATCCAGCCACTCTATTTTACTCTCTTCAGTAGGTGTGGCTGTGGGCTCCTGCTGGCGGGATGTCCCCGCTATCCGGGTAGGTTCCCCTGCTGGTTTGGGCCTGTTCCCTTAGGCCACTAAACCCCAACTCCTCTGGTTCTTGCCAGCTCCATACCTGGAGTAACTTGTGGAAACCCCAACAATCTTAGCCCAGTATCACCGGGGAGGCCAACCTCAGGGCCAGCCT